CTTCTTCTTATATCTTTCCGGCAGTGTAGACGCTACTGGGCGTATTACTGCCCTCCACAGGTCAAAGTTTGAACTAAATTCTTATATACAGTCCTGTATTATGCAAGAACTGAAGAACTACCTCAGAGATCAGTTTATGTTTATCACTGTGCCCAAACAAAGAAGTAACAGAAAACACTTTAACTCCAAATTCTGCCAATTTATCAAAAAGTGCTTTTCTTTCTGCATTATACTTCCTGCATTCCAAGAAAACATGCCCTACTGTTTCCATATTCCCACATTCACATAATCCATAAATATGCTTTCCTACAATATACAAAAAGTAATTTAAACCCACAGTGCCCCAACCTCAATCTACACAGTTTAACGGAGTCCCTACGAGAAGGACAAGTACAAAAACATATTTTCTTAACTTTAGGTTGAATAGAAAAAAAATGTCTACTCTTGATTTCCTTTTCCCATCCTCTCTGCCATTCTTTTATTAAGCCATCTTTAACTCTTTCCCTCAGTTCCACCCTCCCCAAGGATACATGGATATCTATTTCTCTTCCTAAGCTCTCCTTCGCTATATAATCTGCCTGGTCATTCCCCATCACCTCAGCATGCCCAGGCACCCAACAAAAGGTGGTATTGCAAGCAAACCCAACTCTAAAAAACACACTCAAGATGTCATTTACAATATCAGATCGAACTTTAGATTTTCCTGCTCTTAAAGTTTCCAGAGCTGCTGCAGAATCAGAACAGATAAAAACTTATCTCGGTCTGACTTCTTCAATCCACCATAAAGCCCATAAAATTGCCATTAACTCAGCAGTAAGAACAGAGCTTCCATTCGAAATACGTCGACCAATTTTCAACCCTAGTTTCTCCACATACATCCCAAACCCAGCTCTCCCATTAATTGGATCTCTAGACCCATCTGTAAAAATGATTATACTACTCTGATTAATTGAATTAAGATATACCACTATTCTTGGTATCACCTCCATCTTATCTTTTTCCTGAAGAAAATCAAACTCAACTTTCAACTCAGGCATCACTCAATATGGCATAGGTAACCATCCTATATGCTCCGCAATACCTCCCTTTTCCAATCCCATCTTCATAGCCCACTGATTTACATTAACTTTTATAGCATACATTTACATTAACTGATTTACATTAAATTATTATATTTCCTACTTCCAACAAACTCTTGCAACAAACACCTTGCTGGATATGTATAATTACATCCACTAAGTTTTACCCAGTACTGTAGTCCTAATTTAATACACCTTAACCATAAGGGCATTTCTCCCATTTCAATAAGCAAGGCTGAAACTGGGGAAGTTCTGAAGGCCCCACAACAAATCCTCAAAGCCCTTGTTTGCACTACATCTAACCTATCCAAAACAGTTTTAGAAGCAGACCCATATACAAAGGACCCATAATCAATAATGGACCCGATCATGGCCCGATAAATTAGTAATAACGTCTCCCTATTGGCCCTCCATTCACATCCAGCTAGACTTCTCATAACATTCAAAACTTTTTCACAACTCTCCACAATCTTACCTACATGTACAGCCCAAGTCATACGTTCTTCAAACCAAACACCCAAAAATTTAAAAGCCTTTACCTTCTCCAATGGAGACCCATACAAATACAGCCCTATATTAGGTAACTTTCTTTTAAAACCTAATATCATATATTTTGTCTTAGATGCCGAAATTTTAAATCCCCATGTATTCTCCCATTCCTCCACCAACACTAACATTCTTTGAATCTGTTTTAAAACAAACCCTACATTACGCCCTCTTTTCCAAATGACCCCATCATCTGCAAATAAAGAAAGCCCAAATCCTCTCTCCATTTTACCAAAGATAAAATAATAATAACAATAAACTAATAATATTTGTTTAGAATTGGTTTTCGAAAAATGCTGATAATCCCACCCCTTGGGACAACCTGGCTGTGTTGGACAGGGATGTTCAAACTAATTGTGTTACACTTTTTGGTGAATCAACCTAGAAATCTTTCTTGTATTTATTTATTAACAGATAAAGGAGAAAATATTTAAACAGTGAAAAGAAAAGATGAGTGGGATTTGAGCTATCAACCAATCAAGTGTGAAACTCTAATGATGTTCACCTGCTACTCATCAGGAACTTTTAACAAGTTAATAAGATTTCTTGTGAATAAACCCTCAGTATCCCGTGGAGAGTCAGAGAAGTCAGGTTTCTGCTGCAGTTGTTTTAGTCTGTAAAGTCTGAGAAATGTTTGCTTGTGGAGCAGCCAGTCTAGAGAATATCATGACACCCAAAGGGTTCTTCAGGCAAACTCTACCACTGACCCCTGGAAGAATCCCAAAATTTACTATTCCTCCCAAGTTATCCATGTCTCCTCAGCTGTGTCGCCAGAAAGAAAATGATGAGGACACACACATGCTGATATCTCCAGAAAGCCCAGAAGAACCGTCTCCTGGACATCGGCCTCCCACTGGTTCACCATACGTTTCTGCCAAACTTCGTTTCACCCCTAAGATGAAGCTGAATCGCCTGCAGAAATCTGCCACAGAGGATCTCTCAGACCCTTCGACGTGTGCAGCCATGTCTCTGGAGCATGTTGGAAAGGTCACCACACCTTATGGCTTCCGGACCTTGGCTGCCAGTCCCAGCGTCAGCCGGAGAGAGTCCTTATTCCCTAAGCTGGGACGATGCACAGAAAGGA